AGTTCACGCACTGATATTTAAATTCGGGCCACCCAGCTTGACGCAAATCAATATAGTTCAAAAAATCTTTCAACTCTCACAAATACCATGAACGCGAAGAGCTAACTGGGGGTTAACTGAAAGAGAACATCTTTTTTGGAGAAAAAACACGTCAGTACAAGATTATGTGTACAAGGTTAGCTTTATAGAACGTACATGACTGCTTAACTGTGTGTTTTTTAATAATCATGTCGCATGTGAAACGCAGGAGACATTTTAGTTCGCCCATTTCTTGTTTACCGACATTTTGTCTGGAATGCGATACAAAGATTAAACATTACTGATAACAACCAAGAGGCTCGAACCAGGAAGGCTTGGATATTTTAAACTTCGTAAATAACATTCTTTTCAAGCGTAGATTTTATTCAAGTGTAATAATACGCAACAACAATTCGTATAAAGCATTGGTTTTATTGAAGTTTTTAATGCTTTTCGGCTTCACAGTGAATTATTTTAGCGTCATATTTGAAATAGCGCGCTCGATACAAGATGTCGGACGGGAAAATTGGGGTCAGTAAAAATGTTTGTTGGTTCAGTCAGGAAATGTGTGGACCAAAACATCGTCCACTATTTGAAACATCGCCCATGGGCGGGGTTTAGGATGGGCGGGGTATCAGCCGAATCCGGTAATATCCAATTAAAACTAATCAGGTGTCTGCATAATCCTAGAAGATCTATGTAGCAAGTCTCATTGAAATATGATGATTACTACTTGATATATCAAAAGCTGAAAATTAATTCATTATGCAAATTAGGTAATTAATATGTACCCATATTACCCTAAAAACTATCAGGTCTGTGCAGTGTCCTATGACATCTATGTACCAAGTTTCATTGAAATGTGATGATTACTACTTGAAATATCAAAAGCTGAAAATTAATTAATTATGCAAATTAGCTAATTAATATATACTGATATTACCCTAAAACTATCAGGTCTGTGCAGTGTCCTATGACGTCTATGTACCAAGTGTCATTGAAATATGATGATTACTACTTGAAATATCAAAAGCTGAAAATTAATTAATTATGCAAATTAGGTAATTAATATGTATTCATATTACCCTAAAAACTATCAGGTCTGTGCAGTGTCCTGTGACATCTATGTACCAAGTGTCATTGAAATGAGATGATTACTACTTGAAATATCAAAAGCTGAAAATTAATTAATTATGCAAATTAGCTAATTAATATGTACTGATATTACCCTAAAAACTATCAGATTTGTGCAGTGTCCTATGACATCTATGTACCAAGTTTTATTGAAATGTGATGATTAGTACTTGAGATATCAGTGGAAAAGCCGAAAATTGATTAATCATTATGCAAATTAGGTAATTAATATTGCACAGATTTTTCCCCAAAACTATTCAA